AAATTTTATTGGTGAGTTATATTCATACATTCAGATATTTTTGAACATCAGGATTATTGATAGTTTAAAAAGTCTTTTGACACATTATAGTATCCAGTGGACAGTTTATAATTATTTACTATGCTTGATATAACAGGAACTTCAAATTGATAAATATAAGTTCTAGAACTATATATTTCAAGTCTAATAAAAGGTAAATAAATACCACCACAACCACCATGAGATTGTTTGTTAATGTTAGAATTACTTTCTTTAACAATTTAATGAAAACTCTATCAGAATTTATTTCATCAAATCATTTGATGCTTTGTATTTTTACAGTCGCTACTGCTCCTAGCTTACCTCATAAGGAATGGATCAGAGCGTGTTGTTACAAGTGCCAGAGAACACATTTATGATTTGCGATCCCTGGAAAATTACCACTTTGTAGGTGAGCAATAGAAAAACCTTATAAGCAAATTAAAACAGTAGTTGGAGTTGTCAGTCACCTGAACCAGCTTAGAAGCTTCTCTGCTCTAATTAGAATGTGACTGTTGCTGGTTGTGTGACGAGTGCAGAATCCAAGACGTGGGGCCCTAGAGTATTAATTAGTGAAGACAAGAACTTGCAGAAAAGACTGGCTAATAACAACAGAACCAACACAACATGAGTGTTCGGGTTTATATTAAAATATGCACTGGAGACTGGTCCCCTGTGGTGTCCATAAAGGAATAGCTTTAATCATATGGGAAGAAAAGGTTAGAGCTCCAAAACACACACATCTGTTTGAAGCTGGGGTTTTTTTCCCTCCCACCAAATAATATTTACTGTGCAAAGGCAGCAAGGCCAGAGTGTGTTTTGAATGTGAAAGAGGCTAGAGAATGAAGCACATTTCATTTTGTATCATACTCAGTTGAAAGTACTTAAAAAATTCAGTTTTTTAGATGTCCTGGAATTAGTGTTCCTAAGCTTATATTGAAGAAATTGAGACATTTGGGTGCTTTTCAGTCATAAAAATGTTCAGTGGTTCTTGTTTTTGTTTGTTTGGTTAAAATACAGTGGAAAAAGAAAGCATTTAAAGATAGGACCATTTCATATGGTCACTGTCAATAATCTTGAAGGGGCTCTTAAATTGATCTTTTATAGTATCATTATGGTATTTTTTAGTTCTTTACATGCTCTTATAAACCAAAATTGTGTTGTAGAAGTTAGGATTTGCTTCCAAAATTGAGTTGTAGAACTTAGGATTTGCTTAAAAGCACAATTTTCCTCTTTTTTTTAAAAAAAAATATTGCAGTTAGTTTCTTATTTTGAGGTTTTTGTGTTTGTTTCTTTCCTTTAAAGAGTTTGATCCATATTAAGTGAATTTTCGACTATTTCTCACTTACCATTCTTAGATGAGCATGGCAAGGATCAAGGTATAAATATTCGCCAAAAGGTGAAGGAATTGGTTGAATTTGCCCAGGATGACGACAGGCTTCGTGAAGAACGAAAGAAAGCAAAGAAGAACAAAGACAAATATGTTGGGGTTTCCTCAGACAGTGTTGGAGGATTCAGATACAGTGAGTATCAAAGGTAGTCTGGCACCTCAGCATCTGCCTAGCTGCTTCTGTATGTTTTAAGAATCATTGAAATACCAAAGACCAAAATACTGTTGTTGTTTTTCTTCCCCTGGAATACGCTGAACACTAAAAATTCGTGTAATACACACTGACTCCTGTCATATGGATCTTGGGAGTCTTCCTGTCTATTTGGAACTTTCATGGGTACAAGAATATGATTTTAATCATAATGGCTAATTAAATTACTACAAACTTAGAGTTGATATAAACAGAATGAAACACATAATGCCCTTTCTTTCGAGGGTTACTATTCTGTCGAAAAGGAAGGAGAAAAAAGTTTCTCTAACTTAGAGCATAAACATATGCAGTTTGATCGAGAGATCAGTCTTTCTGATTTAAAACTAATATAGCTCTGTTTTGGGCCCCAAGTAGATAAGGTTCCTGTAAGTCTGTCCAGCCTCAGTTTCTCTTAATTAAGCAAAGACAGGGAAAAAAACAGTTTTATTTTTTGTTCTTTATACAGTTAAGAACAACTAAAACATCCATCTCTCATGTTTATTTTTATTGTAATAATACAGTTTACTTAAAATAGAACACTAGGTGCTCAAAACATATATACAAAATAACTCTCACAGCACATCCCTTTGGACTTGTTATGTCTTCTGTGAGCTCTGACAGTATCCTGGTCATTTAGTGTATATGGAAATAGGCCAGTGCTATGTATCGTAGCAGCTGGTTTTTGGGACTCTCTAGTCCCTCCCCCCCCCATTCAGCTCTCCCATCTCATATATAAATTTGTTTATATTTGGATTATATTGAGATCTTAGCTCCTTCCATGTAGCCGTATAAAAAAAATCTGTGGTTTTGTGATTACCTATAAAATAATTTCACTTCTTTGCTTCTCTGCTTCCTGCCTTCAAGATGCGTGCATGTCTGTGTATGTGTCTCTGTGTGTGTGTATGAATGTGTGTGTAGCATTTAGTTGTTTAAAGATGTTTCTAACAGCAGAAAAATTCCCTTTTCTATCTCAAAGCAATACATAAAAAAACCAGTTCCTGAATTGGGCAAGAATATTTTCGCTTAAAGAAAGCATATATTAGTTATTCTAGTGTTTTCAAAGTAGCTCTAACAACTTACTGTGTTTTAGAATAAAAATTGTTACTTGCAACTCATTTCCTCATTGTCACCCTCTTTTTATCAACACAATGTAATTATATCTGAGAAATTTAGAAAAATGAGTACGTTTTCAGACTCAGTGATAATGAACTAGTTGCAGCATCTACATTAAAGGGACAGTTGAACATCCTGTGTGTTTCACATTCTTTGCTAAATTACTGTTAATGCTTTATATTTAGACTTATCTAATCAACTTTTTTTAGCAGTTGTATATGTGTTTTCATTTTGACATTAGTGTCTTACCGATATCTAATAATACTAATTTAGTATTTGGTTTTCATCTATTTTTATTTTTTCTGTAAATTTGTTTTCAAGTCTAGTTCATCACATTGTTGAAACGTACATACATGCTGTTGCAAAAATCCTCTTCTTTAAAAAATGTTCTGGTTTAAATTTTGCCTGGAAAACTTGATTTTGCCTTTTTGTTTTTAATTTGGTGGTAACTTCCAAAATGAGTAGATGTATTTTAGAATCCTCAAACTCTTGCAAAAAATGTTAGCATTGGAGTTTTAGCAGGCCATTCAGTAAAGCGGTCTTTTGTTTCAGTCTCCAAAGGGCATGTATCCCATCAGACTTGTTAACGAAAGTTCAAAATAAGATTCTATTAAGTCACCTTTGTGTTATTTTGTTGTTTCTCATTGCCCTTTCCCTGTATTTCCTGATTTGCCTTAATTTTCAGTGTTTTCTTCTTTCTGTAAGTCACGATTATTCTTTACCTTGCATTCTTGCTACTAATAAATACAATTTGGATGTGGAAATGGAAAGGCTTCATTTTGTGTTAATTCCTCTCTCTCCTTTAGGCCCGTAGAGACAGGAATAAAACTATCATGACATGTTGTTGTTGTTCACTGCTGCGATCTGTGCTTTTTGTACCCAGACTCACACAGAGGCTCTCCAGGTTTCACCAGTCCCAGCATATATAAAGTGGTGTTTAAATAAGTCATCACTCTTTTGAATTGCCTGAACATAGTTCATGATTCTACTGTGTATAGTTTTTGGTAATTAGAATATTCTTTTCTTTTTAAAGTAGTTATAAAATACTTGCCCATAACCTAAAAATTCATCAAATTATTTTTCTGGTTTGCTGCTGAAGAAGATAATTACTGAGCCTTTTGAATATATTGGGGTGTGTAATAGAGTGGAATTCCTTTAGTTTGTATTTTGTAAGACACTGGTGCTGTCCAGTACTTTTCAGAAAAATTATAAACCATTAAACAGGATTGAAAACATAATGCATTAAGTGACTTTTATAAAAACAAAAAGATTTCTATTTCTCTTTTGCTTCTATAACTTGTGTTCATTTTTTGTGTTTTCTACTACTACTTTCAACAGCCTTTAGGAACTTCTTGATATGCTGTGCTGTGCATTAAGATTGCAGAAGTTTTCATAAACAAAAGCTTTCAAATCTGCATTCCTGCCACTTAATGACTGGCATTACATGCTGTTGTCTTGCTGTAATTGTGTTGATTCAGCACTGTTGGAGCTTTCTGTTTTCCTTTGAAAACGATTTTATTATGAGGAAAAGCTTCAGAAATGAAGACTATAGACTCTTTTTGAATTTAATGTCCTTAGAGTTGCTTTTTATTTTTTAATGCTTTATATAGGTGAAAGATATGATCCTGAGCCCAAATCAAAATGGGATGAGGAATGGGATAAAAACAAGAGTGCTTTTCCATTCAGCGATAAATTAGGTGAACTCAGTGATAAAATTGGAAGCACAATTGATGACACCATCAGCAAGTTCCGGAGGAAAGATAGAGAAGACTCTCCAGAAAGATGCAGGTATTAACACTTTGTCTCCTGAACTCTTTAAAGGGTGCTAAATTTATGCAGTTGAATCAGTTTTTTCTTTTGTTTTGTTTGGGTAGTAGTGCTATCTGAAGTTAAGCTTTTATAATGTGTGTATATATTTAAGTGTGTGTGTGTGTATATACATACATATGTATATGTATGTATATATACACACATATATATATGTATGTATATATATATATACACACACACACATACTATATTTTTAGACCAGTTTTAAGTTAACAGAAAAATTGTGTGTGAAGCATAATTGCCATATACATATCCTTTCCCACATATCTCCTTTTATTAATGTCTTGACTTCATAGGGTATATTTATTACTAATTGAACAGCCAGTATTGATATGTTGTTATTAACTGAAGCCTGTAGTTTACATTGATGAGCAGTTCTATGGATTTCGACGACTACATAATATCCACCTTTACAGTATAATACAGAATCATTTCACTGACCTAAAAATGCCTTATGCAAAAACTACGAAACAATTCATGAACTTATGAATCATTCTTGCACAAAGGCCATGTTAATCTTCGCTGTATCATTCAGTTTTAGTACATGTGCTGCTGCTTTTAAGATGCTACTATGTGTAAGATGTTAAATGTTATTTGTAATTAGCATTGACACACCTTCATGCCGTCTCTGTCCATTTCTAAAGTGATCATGTATCCTCTGTATTTATACTCAGCAACGTAGTCTTCCTTTAGAATTTTTTTGCCAGTAAACTTTGAGATCATTTTCTGTTTGGACATCAAGTGACCCAGGAATCTAAGATGTTATTAAGAAATAATGAAGTTAAGTTTAAATAAAAGTTAAAGGATTTGAAATAACTCTTCTTGTGACATTTCTTTGTGATTTTATGTTCATGTATACCAGAAAAACAGTCTGAGTGGATTTTTGAACCAAAAGTTTTTGAATGTAGACCTGTGATTGCTTAAACTATGTTTCTGATGGTAGAGCATTTGTCTATAGAGTAGCAGTTGAAGATGTGCAGTGTTAGCTTCTAGTTCTCTCAGTATTCAGCATAGCTGTAAGCTAGTTCAGCCAAGTGAACGTGCAATGTATACAGCACCTAATTTGCAAAAGCAAGTTTGACAAGGCCTTTGTCCTTGGTGCCTCACAGTATCTCTTTTAAATAGGTTAGGACAGGGACTTGAGCCTTATTTTTTAGAAGTGACATCTTAGCCTTATTTTTTAGAAGTGACATCTGAGGCCCAGTCAGACTGTAAATCCGCCTAAAGCAACAGTTTGTCATAGAACCAAGCCTTTGAGTGAGTTCTTGTAACTAAATACCGTTTCTTTTTTCCTATCCCCAAAATGCCTTAGTAGTTCAGATTTAAGGGTCATTAGGAAGCAGTACAAACAAAAATGTAATCCAACTTTGAAACAGTTTCTAAAATGTTTGTTTAGTGTATTTTCAGTATGTTTCCATGTTTATTAAATCCCTAGTATGCTTCTTTTTCAGGATTGTTTCTGGAATGTTAACTTTAAAGAGCCAGCACTCATTTTTAGTACTCGAATATGTTTATTTTATAACTGTATTTTTAGCTCTATTAAACTAAGAGTATGCATGTGATATTTATAAATACAAAACTTTGTGGAAAAGTGCTTACTTTAAAAATCTGGTATTGCTTCCCCTTAATTAACGTTTTTGGGGCCTGTGTGTAAGTTTTTGGTTTGGCTTGAAAACTGTAGTGGGTATAAATCTTGTTACTGTTTTCTGAAGAAGTGTGGGAATCAGGCAGTATAGGCTGGTTATAACTGGGTATATTCTTGTATGGTTGCTCTCTTTCCTTTGTCCTTCCAACTTCAGTTTTTTGCTTTTTTGGTTTTTTTTTAATTGCTTTGTCTTCTCTACTCCTTTTTATTTATTTTTGTTACTCTAGTGATTTTTTTCTTTTCTTGTATTGCCTCTAAGTCAGGGTCTGCTAGAGTTCCTTAATCTTTTCATGTAGAGTATTCAGATTATAAAAAGTAAAGATATAGTAAAAGATGTGTATCATAGTAACAACAGGACACAACAGAGACTTTTCATCTTGGGGTATTTGTGAGAAAAGAGTAGATTTTTAGACAAAGTTGCATATGACCACCCGGGCGTGTTAACCAGAATTCAAACTTCGTCGTTCATTTTTAAATTCATGAATTCTTGAATATTTATCAAATAGAGAATTTCTCTTTCATTGTATGCTTGTCATATAAATATATTTTCTAAGCTTGTAAAGAAATGATCTTGCACTGAAAAAAAATTGTATATCTAAAAGATAAATGTCAGTTTTACTTAAGACTGATGGTGGGAATCATTAGCCTGTTTGCTACTGAGAACATAGTAAGGGCTTTGGAACACGTAGCAGAGCTCTGTTCTTTAAAATGCTTATATATTAAAAATATTTAACCCTTTTGCTATGTGTGGGAAGCCATTCTTTTTGCTCTTTGATTTATCCACATTCCAAATGGGTTTATATTTAAGTAGAAATTACTTTGGATTAGTCTAGGTTACATTGCATCAGTAGTCATAGTTTTAAGGGGGATTTTAAACATTTTATTCCAGGATATTTATAAATTAAACCACCTACTCTAAAATTAAGTAATATAGATAATGGAACATATTTCAAGTAATTTTTCTGTTCCGTCCTACTAGTACCAGGAAAAAAAAAAAAAAAAACCAATGCCTTGTTACTGGAGAACAGATTAGTACTGACATTTTCATTCCTGGCATATAAAAATCCCAGTATCTTACTCTTTGGGGGTTTTCTTACACACTATTAAATAAAAGTAAAAGAAACATGTACTATTAAAAAAAGAAAAAGAAAAAAAAATAGTGTTTGAATATGCCCAAAAGGGAATTATTTTAAAAACGTTTTAAATATAGTTAAATTTTCTATAAAGCAATTTCCATAGTTATGTAAAAGTTTGATCTCCTAATACTACAGTAAAATAGACCACAGTTGTAAAGTACATTACCTCATATTTTTCTACATTTACAGGTGCAAGTTGAATCATTTAAGTTCAGCTAGGATAATATTTTAAAAGTATCTTTTGAAATTATAATATTTTATTATGTATGTGCATTAGTGTGAAAATTGATGACAGAATTATGTTTCATAAAAATGGAAATTGTAACCAAAAATGGAATGGAACAAAATGGAACCACCCATTTCAAGAAAATGGTCATGATGTACAGATGTTTGAACTACCAAGATCTTACTAATTAGTTCTGATAAAATAATCCTGCTATTTTAATGTTTAAATTAAGCTTTAAGTCTGTAATAAACAAAAACTTGAGCTATTTCAGCCATTTTTTTAACTAAGCATCCACATTTATGTAAATACTTTTTGGCAATGTTTTAGACTTATCTGGGGAATTCTGCAGGTTCCCACTTCCCCTCCCCAACACACACATATCATTATTCAGACAGCTTAGATAACATTCTGTTATCCCTGTCAAATACTCAAAGTATGGGATTTTGGAGTCAGTGCATTTGAAATTCTTTAGCTCAACTCACTGAGGACTCCATTTAAAAATAATCCCAAGTCTTATTATTTTGCTTCATTTTTAATATCTTTTAGTGACAGCGATGAGGAAAAGAAAGCAAGAAGAGGCAGATCTCCCAAAGGTGAATTCAAAGATGAAGAGGAAACTGTGACGACAAAGCATATCCATATCACACAGGCCACAGAGACCACCACAACCAGACACAAGCGCACAGCAAATCCTTCTAAAACCATTGATCTTGGAGCAGCAGCACATTACACAGGGGACAAAGCAAGTCCAGACCAGAATGCTTCAACCCATACACCTCAGTCTTCAGTCAAGGTGGGAATGGCAGGAGTTTTACACATTCCACATGGTTTTATCCTTTTAAAACTGCTTTTAGAATTTCTACATTAGTACAATTGGACATTTCTACATATTCATATTAATTATAGATCATCTGGCATGTAATTACTCAAAGTCATTAATAATAAGAATACTCTTTCGAGTAAGAAACCTGTCTAGTTGCTGAATGATTGTGCACTATCTGTGAAAGTAGAGATGACACTCTTGGTTCATTTGGGAAAGGTTGTGAATCAGAAAGTCATGCATTTGCTTCCCTCTAAACACTACCACTGGTTACCAAATACAGCTGGATTTGTTGAGGAAAACAGGGGAGTATTGGAAGTTTTAAGACATGACAAGAAGATGGAGGGGATATGTAAGGGAAGTGATCTTATTTAAGAGATGACGCCTATAAAGGGAGGCTTATTACTGCTCATTGTTGGAAGCACTGTCTCTTGTACCTTCTTTGTTTTTATTTACTGTACAAGTCAAACCCACCTACTAGATAGCTGGCTACAAGCTAGTCTATTACACAGAATTTGCCAAAGGCAGAGATTTGCCCTGGAAGACTTAACATTGTTGTCATCCCTCCCACACACACTACTCTCTATTCAGCTTGTATCTTTGCAAGAGAAGTAGCTAAGAACTGGGGAAAATATTTTTCTACTGTATACTGCAAATTGTAGGTAACTCTGAAAGTAAAGCTGTGCCTACCTAGTGATGAGAAAAAGTATTCTGTCAGTTTTTGTCAATTATGTCTTCTGGACTGTTGTATAGTTTCACTCCTGTGACCTTCTAAGTTTTAATGAAAATTTTAATCAAAATTGTAACACAGCTTTAGTTGTAATTTTATAGAGGAAATGACTGTTTCTCCTTTGTGGCCTTAGACCTCCCCTCCAGTAGATATAGTTACCTTACTGATGGCTGTATAGGGTCTGGCAATTAGTTGTAATACTTTTAAAAATCTAAATGCATGATGCTATCATGGAGTACTCATTTCAGGTTGCACAAGGAAAATTCTCCAAATCATTTAATTTTTTTTAACAATAAATCGAGACTTATATCTTACATCTTAAAAGGATTTTAAATAAGAATTTGTAAGCACAGTCTGTCGTTAATTCTGTCATAAATACATTCACAGTGGAAGCTCCTTGTTCTTGTTTTTTGTCTAGAACACTGAAGTTCTTGAAGTTACATAACTGCTTCAGACCTATTTCAGTTTAAAGGCCTTTCAGAACCACAGTATTATTTTAATCTTCAAAGCTCAAATTAACATTTCTAGGAACTTACATTGTCTTCCTGTTGTCTAACATTTCTACTTTTTAAAAAATTTTTACTTATGGGAACCAGCAGTTAGCGTAATGGCTATGTCGCTGGACTCCCACGTAGTCGACCGCGGTTCGTGTCCCGGACCCAGTGGCTTAAAACTCACGCCAGGCGCGTGTGCGTGCGTGCCCAAGATCCCGAGAGGAGAATGGAGGAGAAGGGATTGTGGCGTGACCATCCCCCCTGGGGGTGATTTCTCGCTTTCTGTCTCTATGTCTCTGTCTGTCTGGCGAGCGCACGCGCCCTACAGTGAAAATCTCTCAAAAAAAACAAACAAAAAAATTTTTACTTATTTATTTTTAAAAGAATTCATTACTTTTTATTTGTGATTATTTTTATTTTTTAATTTGACTAGAGAGAGAAAGAGAGAGAGTGCAAGCTACCAAGTCCAGGACTTGAACCCCAGATGGCCATGTGGGAGTCCAACAACACCTTTATCAC